GAGGGGGGGGAGGGGGCGGGGGGCGAGGGCCCGCGCCGATCGGCACAAGAATGAAAAACAAAAACTACCACCAAAACGCTCTTTCTCGTGACTGGCGTCCGCTTGCGCGGCGCGGGCGGTCGACGGGGAGCTTCCCCCTCTGGCAGAAGCACACCCTGCCGACGACTCCTGCGGCCTGGGGCCAGACCCCTCGGCGAGCGCAGGCCCCCGCGCACGCCGCGGCCGCAGCGCCCCCCTGGCGAGAAACCCGAGAGAGAGAGGGGGCAACTCGCTACCAATCGGCTGGGCGGGCTGGGAGTCTTGCTCGAAGGAAACAAAGTACACCAGAGAAGAACCCCAGTCAATGGATGGTTTGTGAAGCGTAGGATCGATGATGAGATCGGTAAGGAGATCGACCGGGAACCCGGGAACCCGGAACCCACCGAAATCGGCCCGGAACCAATAACCAGGAACCCGGGAACCCAGGAACCCGGAACCGGGAACCCAAGAACCCAGCCGGCCACCAAGATCGGCGAGAAACTTTCGCCAAATCTTTCAATATCCGCTAGGACCCTTTCAGTGCAAGCACTGATTGGTGAAACAACGCCATAAACATAAACTTTTGGCGCTCCGCGCGGGTTTATTGGATCTGCGCTGGAGCCCCCTCCGTGGCGCGCGGAGCGCGCCAGGGGCGGCGCCGGAGGCGCCGCCAGAGGGCCCCAGCGCGGATCCAAGAAATCCACGCGGAGCGCCAACATTTTTTTTTTTTTTTTTGTTTTGTTCGTTTTCCGGCGCCACCTGCCTGCTCTCAAGGAACTTGCCAACTGGCCACCCTACATCAGCGGCATCTCGGACTCCCCCTCCTCCGACCCCCTTCATGCTGCTCCTAGTCTGTTCCCCTTCCTCCTCCGCCTCCTCACAGAACTGGCTGCAATCAGAAACTCGCACATAAACTACATCTGCATGGGGGGCATCGCACTCATGACATCAACTTACTGGAGTTTGCTCTTCGCCGCCTTCCGCTGGTGCGCGTTCGTGAGGTCGATGCTCGTGCCAGCGAGAATGTTGTCACTTCCCATGTTCTCCCGGTGACACGGGTGCTTGCAATCGATGGGCTCGTTTTTTCCAGTGACACTGTTGAACGGCAATTCGACTGTGCACTTGTGACACCATCTGCCATACGGGCCAGCTAAGCCCCAGTCAAAACCGTTATCGCCGACAGAGGAGTGAGGCTCGAGCAGGGCGAACACGAGAGGATAGTAAGTCTGATCTGACCAACGATTCAGGTAAACTCGCCCGTCCTCGTTGAACGCCTCCGCCAGCCTGCGGACTGGCTCCGACCTGAAGAAATCCAGATCCCCCATGCCTGCGTAGCCTACGTAGACCTGCTGGGCTAAGCGCTCGTTCCAGATATCAGGATCCTGAACGGTCAGGCCGTGCGTCTGCTGGTACTGCTGGAACCACTCCCAAAGGCCATGCGAACACTCCTTTACCCATATATTCTTCCGCGTCTGCCACATGAACTTGCGTCCCGTCTTCGCCATCATGCAGAAAGGATCGTTCTCGAGGTCCGCCATGAAAGCGAAGTCTGCATCTATGCGCAGATAGTACCTGTACTTGTCCAAGGATGGGTGCTCGTACATCACCTTGGTGAAGAACTGGTTCATATGCTTGTAGCTCGTACTGACAGCTTTTGCACACGTGTTCAACTTGCTGGTCCAATTTGCATCTTCACGGATAACCTTTGGAAACTTGAGGTCGAAAGGTGCGATCTCCCAGCTGGAACTCTCGCCCAAGTGCTCGCGCACCACCTCCTGGACTTCCTCGCGGGTGGGAGAAGAGTCGAAGCTGTGAGGATCGTACTCGCGCAGGGCGTCGCCCGGAACGAAAACCTTCACGTCATACGCCCAGTGCCGGAGGAAGAAGTAGCGCAGACGTGGCAGGCTCTCCCCCAGTCTGTCCAGATCCGCAGGGCGGGTCACCAAGTAGGTGATGACCCCGCGCTCGAGCGCCGACGCCCCGTCCCTTCTGCACTGCTGCGCAGCTGCAGCGATGCGCGTCTTCTCCTCCTCGCTCACGTGGGCGGGGCTGCTCGACCTTGCACCCAAACTCAAGCTCCTCCGATCCGCTTCCTCCAAATACCACGTGTCGAAATCGTCCAGCTCGTCCGTGTCCCCTCCGGCGGCCAGGAGCTCGTCGCTGCTGAATCCCCGGACGGGGGGCACCTCGCTGCTCGGCTCCAGGGACTGGGCAAGCCCAGCGCCGAGCCCGACGGCCGATCGGGCCCGCATCAGAGCGGTCACACCCACCAACATCACCTTCAGGATCGCCATGTCAGAATTTCGAAGATACGAAACGGCAGAGATGAAATGGATAATCACGGTCACGCGTGGAACCGGAAGACGGAAGCCACTGCGGCTCTGGCTTGTGGGAGCCACTATGGCTGCGGCACCATTCGTTCCCCAGCCGGGGGCGCGTTCCACTGGACCTCGAGCCGAAAATGGCTTGAGCCAAAATGGCTACGGATTGATTTTTTATGCTTCTTTTTCGACGATTGCGATTTCTTCGTGCTCGTTCTCGCGAACGCACTCGCACGTGTGGTTAGGTATTTGAGGCGAATCCAGCGGCGGCGACCAAGAAGGACGAAGCACGAACCACGCCTGCAAATGGGCACCGTCTGGGGTGCTGCGGGTGTGGCGCCGCAGCGCCAGAGCGTCAGAAAATGAGGCCCGATCAGAAATTCGGGGGCGTGCAAACATGGATTGGCGATCCATGGATTTGGCGCGCGGTCGCCAAGTCCATGGATCGGGGGAAGTGCCCTCCCCCAGATGCGGCGGGTGCCGCCTCGCTCGGAGGCGGAACTCCGCGATGTCTCATGGAAACGGGACCCGTCGCTGATGCACGCCCCCTTGATACATGTTTGCGATCGCCGGAGAAGCCCTGTTCGATCTTGTTCCTCGGACTCCTCCCCGATCAGAGAGACGAAGCCGAGGAGGAGGAGGAGGAGGAGGAGGAGAGGGGAAGGAGGATAATGAGAGGGGAAGGGATGATGATGATGATGATGATGATGATGATGATGATGATGATGATGATGATGATGATGATGATGATGATGATGATGATGATGATGATGATGGATGATGATGATGATGATGATGATGATGATGATGATGATGATGATGATGATGATGATGATGATGATTGATGATGATGATGATGATGATGATGATGATGATGATGATGATGATGATGATGATGATGATGATGATGATGGATGATGATGATGATGATGATGATGAGAGGAGGAGGAGGGGAGGAGGAGGAGGAGGAGGGAGGAGGGAGGAGGAGGAGAGGAGGAGGAGAGGAGGAGGAGGAGGAGGACGAGGAGGAGGAGGAGGAGGAGGAGGAGGAGGAGGAGGAGGAGGAGGAGGAGGAGGAGGAGGAGGAGAAGATCGAAGAGGAGGGGGACGATGAGGAGGACGAGGAGGAGGAGGAGGAGGAGGAGGAGGAGGAGGAGGAGGAGGAGGAGGAGGAGGACATCGGCATCGGTACCTTCTCCTCCACTGGGCACGGGCCCCAGCTCGGCTGCCCGCTCGCTCTCTCTCTCTCTCTCTCTCCCTCGCGCTGGTGACCTCGCGCTGCTGGAGTGGCGCAGGGGCCGCGCGCCAGTTTTTGTCCTGACAGAGCTGGGGGCGACGGGCAACGATGGTGGGGGACTGGCTCCCCTGACCTTCCAGGAGGGCCAAGAAATAGCACCAGGACGTCGACGTCCCAACTCCCGTCGAGGCTGGAGACAGCCCGGATGGATCTGTAGGTCTTCAGTGCTCTGTTTTCGCACTCGGGAAGGTCGGGGTCAGGGGGTGGGCAGAGACGTCGACCTCAAACGTCGGCGACGTCTCGCCGACAGGTCGGCGCCAGGCTCTCGACAGCCGGACCGCGCGCTCCGGGGCGGGGTGGGCTGTCGGGCCCCTGCGGGCGATGGATGAGCCATCGGGGCTCGCCATCGCTCGGGCGTCCGTTCCCCGTGCAATGTCCGACTCCGTGCGCTCCTTCCTTCGTGCGAGGAGCCGGTCTGCTCCGAGCGATGGCCCTCGCCGAGGACAGAGGCACCCGTCCGAGCGATGCCAAGAGGGGGGGTCGATGCGCTCCCCCCCCCCGAGCGTATCCCCCCCCTGACGTTGCCCCTGAGGGGGAGGCGGTCGGGAGCAGCCCGAGGGAGCGCGAGGGACCCCGCCTGATCGAGGATCCTCAGAACGAGTGTTGGCGCCAACGTGTGCTAGTATACTGAAGATCCTGGGATCCTGGGGCTGTGTACCCTGAGATCCTGGCGCTGCAATTCTTGCCACACCGGGCGCCCTCTTCGAATTTCGGGCCCCAGGACCCTCACAGATCGACCCCGCCCGCAAAATGCAGCATACCGATGGGGTCGGCGGCCGTTATTTTTAATGTTGCATTTTTGAAGGGGCCCAAGGGGACACAAAAAAATACACACAAAGAACAAGATTCCCCATATTTTTCCCATATTTTCTGGGTCTCTGTCGTCCCCCCCACTTCCCGTATTTTCCCATATTTTCTGGGGAATCGACGATTAATTGTGCTTGTGTGTTTCTTCCCCTCCTGACTTTTCTCCGTCACAGGGTGCGACGCAGGCGGTGCAGTGAGGGCGGGCGCGACCTGCGTGCTCTCGGTGGGGCGCTGAAGGAGGTAAGCACGCGTGGGGCCACATTGGAAGCGGCCAGGGGGTCTGCATTGGATGGGCCCTGAGCAAATCGGTCATAAAACGACGCGAAGATCGGGACAAAATCGGATCGGGATAATTTGAAATCTCTGAGAATCGGCGGGTTTGGAGGATGTATTGGGCGCCGCGGCCGCTCCAGAGCGTTCCGGAACGCTCTGAGAGCGCTCCGGAACGCTCTGGAGCGATTTTATCCCGATCCTCGCCCTGTTTTAGGTCATTCGGGGGGGAACGATGGGCAACCCCACTCATCACAAGACGGAGGATAAAGATCAGACAGCTGATA